TAATGATGTTGTTTGGCGTCATGTCAGCGGCAAGGAAAACCCTGCGGACCTGGCCTCACGTGGTTCTAGTTTGGGTGATCTTTCTTCTTCTACTTTTTGGTGGGAGGGTCCCGAATTTTTGCGAAGTTCTAATTTTTCACTAAGCGATTGTACTATCACAGATACGTCAGAGGAACTTCCTGTGATGAGGCAGCCTATTTCATCTTTTGTAGTTCATGATTCATCGAACTCAAAACTGTTCGAATTTAATCGTTTTTCGCAATATAGGCGCATGAGGCGTGCTGTGGCGTTTGTGTTACGTTTTTTACACAATGTTCGCAACAAGAATAAAAAACTGACGGGCGTCATTGGTGTCGATGAGTTGAATGCATCTGAGAAAGTTTTAATAAGGTGGTCTCAGATGGAAAGCTTTCCAAATGAATATTCCTTGGGGCCGTCCATATATTACGTCATTCTAAATTAGGGGGGGGGGTTGGTCTGCGGATGACGGTAAATGATAGATGGTTCGAAATTGACGTCATTCTTATTTATAGTTTATTGGTCACGTACAAAAAGATTATTTCTAAAAATAATTTCTTCCAGCACATTATTATTATTCCCTATTTTTTACTTTTATATTATATAAATGATTATTGCCAAAGTAAACATAATAAAAGGTGTTTAAAACCAAGTGTTCTAATCATAAAATACCCTATTTTTCTCAAATCTGCAATGTTTTAATTTTGTCAAACTGGTAATGACGTCAATTTTGGGAGAGGGGGGGGGGTCATTAAAAAATGATGATAGGATGATTGTAGGGGGGGGGGTCTAAAATCTGAAAAAATCGATGACGTAATTTATGGACGGCCCCCTTGTTGCTCAAAGGTTCAAAAATAAAGTGCAAAGGTAGCTTAAGTAAACTTAATGTATTTATGGATATAAACGGTATAATGCGTGTAGGTGGCCGTTTAACTAACTCAAGTGAATTTTCTTTTAATAAAAGGCACCCTATTTTAATAAGTAGTAAACATTATTTATCAACATTATTATTTCGTGGTGAGCACCAGACTTCTCCATGCTGGACCCCAGGCATTACTTTATAACTTACGCGAGACCTGGTGGCCTTTAGGTGGCAGAGGTCTAGCTAGGCAAATAGTTTGGAGTTGTATTACTTGCAAGCGCCTTAAGGGTACAACATTAACACCCCCTATGGGTAACTTACCAGAGGAAAGGATAACGCCTAGCTTTCCATTCATTCGATGCGGAGTGGATTACTGTGGGCCAGTGCACATACTTAATCGTAAAGGTAGGGGGGCTAAAACTGCTAAAGCATACGTTTGTTTATTTCTGTGTTTCGTAACGCGTGCTGTTCACTTAGAATTGGTCACTGATCTCACTACGGACGCATATTTACTAGCACTCAATAATAATTGAAAAAGAAATATTTTCCGACAACGGTCGCAACTTTGTAGGTCTAATGAATGATTTTTCAGATTTTTTGCGACGATGCGATTCAAATATAAAAGAATATGCCGCGAATCAAAATATTAAATTTTCGTTTATTCCACCTTATTCGCGTATGGTGCTACATGACGCGATATAAAAATCGACGTTGCCATTGGTTGCTAAATATTGTTCCCAGCCCATCTTCCTCGAATTTTGGAACAGATTTATTTGAATATATTATACGCTATTAGACTTTCAAAGATAAGATATCACACCTTTTATTTAAATTTCCAAAATCTCAGTCTCAAAACTCCGTAGCTAAGCATAGACGATACGAAAACCAAGTACCGGTGGTCGCTATCTGGCACATTGGGAGTTTCTTATTGGGACTTAACAGAGATACATTTTTGTGAGAAAGGTGTAAAAACGAATGCAGTTGTATATCAAAATACAGTCCTGACGAACCTTGTGGAACCTGTTTCTCATACCATGTTCAATAACAGGCACTGGGTATTCCAACAAGATTCGGCGCCAGGGAATAGAGCGAAGAGCAAACAAGAAAGAAATCGGCGCGTGAAATCGACTTCATCCGGCACGAAGACTGGCCCTCCTCCGTGTCAGATTTGAGTCCGTTAGATTACAAGATATGGCAACACTTGGAGGAAAAGGCGTGCTCAAAGCCTCATCCCAATTTGGAGTCACTCAAGACATCCTTGATATTGACATGGACCTCGTTCGTGCTGCGATAGACGACTGGCCGCGCAGATTGAAGGCCTGTATTCAGAATCACGAAGGTCATTTTGAATAAACTTTATTGTTTAAGAATCTATGTTTTGTTAAGTTCATTTTGGTATATAAATGGTAACATAATGAATAAACTTGTTTCTATTACTTTATATCAAACATGTGACAGAATTTATGACCCGACTAGGTATTTAAATCTCTCAATGCAGCAGGAAAAACTGAACGGATTGCGCTAAAATTAGGCACACATGCGCTGAAAACTTTTTTTCCAAAACTCACCCCCTTAAGGCGTAAAAAGGGGATACAAAGTTTGTATGGTGCACCAAGATCGCGAGGTTAATCCTTTAACTATAGGTAAAACCGTGAGAGGTGCGGGCGACAGGCACATTCTTGTCAAAATTAAAAAATAGTGCCCGCCGCCCGCACCACTACGGTCCCCGTTTCGTCCTCCCTCTTACCCTTTACCCCGCAGGCGAGGACTCAGTTAAGCGGTTTACCTGATAAATTAAAAAAAGTTTTACGAATGAAAAATGTTGCCGTGAAATTTGTTACTTAATCTTGAACTATTTGTGTTAGCCCAAGAGACAGAGATCGCGGTTATACTTAATCGAAATCTAGCTTTTTTACAGATAGTCACAATTTGACAAACGCGCTGCATGAGCACACAATATAGTCAATATATATATAAACCTCTTTTGAATCGTCCAATATTTTTTCCTACCACCATGTGAAGCTAACAACCCAAAGACCCATGTTGATTTATCTATATATATATAAAAATGAAACCCGTTTTCCGTTGTCACGAAATAACATGAAAACGGCTTGACCGATTTGGCTGATTTTTTTGTAGTTTTCTAATACTCTTACTTCCGTAAGGTTCTTACGGAAAAAAATATAAAGAAAATCTCTCAGAAATATTGAAAAATATAACGTAACGAATGTCAACGTCATTCAATTTAAAACAAATAATCTGTGGTAATCTGTGACACCACATCGATAACCGCGCTAACAAAATGACGGTTCAAATTGAATAGGTACTCATCACAGACATAGATAGTACTCATACATAAGATAGGTCAGCTATACAAAATAAAGTAGTGCATCAAAGCTACGCTAAGGCGGTACGAAGTTCGCCGGGTCAGCTAGTACTTAATAAACATGTGTGTGTATGTCAATTTGCAAAAATTCTATTGTATGTCACGAATGGTGTAGCCAGCTGCTCAACTGCTACCCAAGTAACAGAAAAAAATCTGTATGTTGTGTTCTATTGGTTATAAATGTAGGTGGTTAAATTAATATGTTACAGGTTACAAATGTAGCTCACGAAAATAAAAATATTGAGGCCTAATCATACACACCTACCTTTTCCTCATATCCTTTTTATAAAGAAGAAACCTATGCCTAATCGAATCGAGTAAATATTGGGTACTTAAAGTAACCAATACTTATAGTGGTACTTATAGTACCCAATATTTACGATATATTCGCATTTAATTAAGTGCATCTTCTATAGGTATGAAAATGCACTTAATTAAATGCAAATATATTGTCACAAACGCTCTCGAAACGTAACCACGAAAGTGCTAGAGGTCGATTTGCCAGAGCACCGCGGGTCGCGATAGAGGTCGAGTAATGCGGCTCATTCTAAAATGAGCCTTATGCAGTTCGTCGTAAGGGAGAAATTGCAACGACATCTGCACTTGTTTACAAGTTATGCGCGTTACCTGCGTAGGTATAAGTAGGTACTTCGTACTCGCGGGTGGTAGCTAATTCTCAATTTAACAGGTACTTTCTAGAATGCGTCGATCGGCGTATATAAGCGCGATTGGCGCCGCGCAGAGACAGTTGAGTTTCAACAGCGATTTCAGAGCGAATCCAAAAGCAATCAAAGTGCAACAAAAGTGTTCAAGTGCGATAGCTTAAAGACTTGTAAAGTGAAATACAGTGTTTAGTGAGTGTTTTGTAATTAACATTGTGTGTTAATTGTGTAAACTGTGTGTTGAATAAACAACTGTCAAGAGTGAACTGGCATATAATTTCGAACCCCATCCCGACACATAACAATATCAAAAATGAGGTAGATTTTTGCTTATATTATAAGTCTACCTTATTTTTTATGTAGACTTATAATATAGTGCACTTAGACTTTGCATTTAACTAGTGCATTTTGCGCAAGATGCGCTTAATTAAATGCGAATATATGTGTCAAGGCTACACATATATTCGCATTTAATTAAGTGCATCTTCTAAAATCAAAATAAACTTTTATTTTTCTTAATATTGACAGATTTTGCTGCCTTCCTGCGACATAATTTTGGCATTTAACAATATAGAACTTTAGCAATGGACTAATGATTTCCACATGAGTTTACCAATGTTTTTTAAAATGTCAAGAAATCTAAAGAGTTTCTGTTACATTTATAATTTTCGAAATTCACTTTACTGTTTCCATTTTATCTATAATGTGATCTATTGCATTTAAAATAAAGGTCAAAGTACAATTTATAATATAACAGTTTCTTTTACGATTAGAAAGTCTTAAGAGCAATTATGCATTCTCTACAAAGGAAAACTTGTCTGTTTCGACATTTTTAAGAGAATTATCGGGCAAGTGGGTCAGGAAACAAATGGTTTTGATCATACATTACTGGCCGCCGTGATAGGTAAGACCTGTATTACCGGCTACCAAGCTCTGTTTTTGTAGTTGTGTGACTATATAGCTATACAGTAAAATTAAAAGGATAACTACAAGCTCCAAACTACAAAGCCATTTGATCTAGTCACAATGATTATGTTATGATGATGACGCAATCAAAAAACGAACTATTTACCTGATGCCAGAACTAGTTTCTCATTAGTAAGAGCAATAAATTCTTCTAAAGCATCTTGTGGATGTCCTTGATAAAATATAATATCAGAGTTATTTAAAAATTGACCACATATATCACATTTCTCATCAAGAGACATATTTCCAGTGTTGATGGAAGCAGCCAATACATCATTGCTTTTATCCAATTCATTGATTTTTTGTGAATTCTTTGAAGTCTCATTAAATAAATGGTCACTATTTTCATCAGACTGTTGCCCTGATAATTTAGATGCAAGACCATTACTTTGTTCCATGCTTTTATTTTGAATTTTATCATGCTTATCAAATTCATTTTGAATGCTTGTGTCTTCATTATTGTTCAAAGACTCGTCCCTCTTGACCTTTTTCTAAAAATCAGTGACCATCAACAATGGTAATGAAAATAATAGTAATAAGTAATGAATCAAGGAAATGTAGGTTATGTACCTACATTTTCCATAAAGAATAACTTAACTTACACATAAAACGGTGATGTCATCTACTGTTGGGCTTCTACTTCTTTTGACAGAAGTTCCATTTCCATTGCAGAATGCTAATTTTGATCTAAATAGAGGAATTTCAATTCATACGTTGTAAAATAGACCCGTTAATAGTTGAATAGTTCATAGTTAGAAAAAAACATAAACATACCTTTCTAATGTTGTTGAGATTGGTTGATTGATCGGATCATTTTCCTCTACATTATAACCTTGTCCTCGCGTGGGACTGGGAGTCCTGGAAGGAGTTTCAAATGTCGCCGGCATTTTAAGAAGTTATCAACATCTTTACAGCGCTCGCAGTAGAATAAAATTAGTGAAACTTTAATTTTTATAAAATCATTAACTTTCTCTCTTGGTTTATACAACCTGCTTTAAAAAATATTCTTATTTTGCAATAAATAAACGCAAAACCCCTAAGTTTAAGTTTTTATCCCGCCAAATTTCCGGTGACGGGAGACGCACGGTCCTCCTTTTTTTTTTTGTTGAAGTTTCTCCCGTTCTAGGGAAGGCAAAGGGAACAATGCCCATACAGCCTGGTCTTGAATTAAAATCTTCTTTTTGTTTATACATTAGAATGTCGGTGTGACGCATTCTAATGTTTCTTGGAGTGTTTGGCACGAAATGTATCGAGTTGGCTTTTTCGATAAGCTTCTGTGAGGTAGTCAACACTACAATAAAATTCTCACGTCCACTTGACCGGAATAGCGTATATTTTAATGATTCCACTAATTCTTCAGTTACGCAGACAGTTGTTACACAAAACCACACCAATTTTATTTCACAATATCCACTATGAACGAATTTAAGAATAATTAAAATAAGACGCCAACCGCACTCGATGAAATCCCGCCAAAACCCGCACGGTCCTCCTGCAAGACAATGTTGACATCTGTCGTCATTCGCAGTCACAGATTATGTTAAGTTCTAGGGGTGGGCATTTTTAGAATAACGATGCGCAATAACGATGCCAGGTTTGGATGCGCGCATCCGATGCCACTTGTTACCGTTATCGGATGCCGATGCCATCTAGTTTTTGTCAACGATACTATAACTACAGTGCCACAAACTTATCTGTGCTGGTGGAGATGCCGCTAGCGGTGAACAAAAATGCTATGGATAAATTGTAGTTAAAATTTTTGCCACTGGCACAGAAAAGTTTGTGACACTGGTCTGCGCTCAAAACCAACGCTCTGAGTGCAACTTTTCAGGTAATCATTTTGCCAACATTCAATACTTTCAGTTACTATGCCGAAAATAAATATATGGTTTCGTTTGCATTTATAAGTCATGATTCATGAATCGAAGGGACACACCCATACAAAGTACAGGTGTAAAAGTAACGAAAAAAAGCATACCTGTGTGTATTCGTTACTTGTAACAACTAGTACTCGTTATTATAGTATCGTTACGTTACTCGTTACTTCTCATAAAAATATCGGTTTTACTGTTTTTAAACGTGAGCTTATGTTATATCACAATAACATCGCAATCCATTATTCATCAATTATAATGATAAAGCAACAAATAGGTGTCGAAAATTATTGTATTGATAATGATACTTAAATAGCGATAAATCAACATAAAAATAGTTTTGCTTAGAATGACATTAAACTGAAATTAACGAAAGAAAGAACTACAACAAAAATATTTTGTTCTCTAAATAAAATTATAAAAAAAAAAACGAAATCTTTCAAGTTGGCTTTTTCGATAAGCTTCTGTGAGGTAGTCAACACGACAATTAAGTTGTCACGTCCATTTGACCCGAATAGCGTATATTTTAACGATTCCACTAATTCTTCAGTTACGCAGAAGGTTGTAACACAAAATCACACCAATTTTATTTCACAATATCCACTATGAACGAATTTAAGAATAATTAAAATAAGACGCCAACCGCACTCGATGAAATTCCACCAAAAACTCCAACGTACGTTTTTAAATTCTCCGAATATGCTCGCGCATGCTCAAACATACGATCAGAAAATGTTTCTATGCACACATCAACTGTACTTGCGTTAACTGAAACCCATAGATAGTCATACTACGAAAAATGCGAGTAACGAAATTTATTTGTGTCTAACGTTTCTCGGTACTAGACGTTACTCGGTACTAGATGGCGCACCCGTTACTCAGTACCGAATACATACGGTTTGCTACAGCTCTAATACAAAGAGTACATCTATCGGCATTTCACGGGGTGGGCGTTTTTAGAATAATGATGCGTGAACGTGATAACGATGTCAGGTTTGGATGCGCGCATCCGATGCGACTGGGTACCGTTATTGGATGCCGAGGCCATCTAGTTTTTGTCAACGTTACTCTAAACACGCAACTGTCGTAATTCGTATCGAATCGCATCCTGTGATACTATGATACTGATATTCACTTGGCATCGATGCCGGCATCAGATGCCATTTATCTGATATCGATGCGCATCGATATCACAAATATCTAAAAACGCCCATCTCTATAAGTTCACTCGCCGAACAAAAATTTTCACCATTTTTAGTGGAGGACGAGGTACACACTGGTACACACGTACAGCAGACTAACGAAAATTTGCAATACTCCCACAGTACAGTATAATGAGATTCAACTAAGAATAGGACCGACTGGGCCCTATATTGTGACGTAATAGCTGTCCATTCCTTAGAGCATTTATACCAATACAAAGCAAATAGGAAGAGTGAGTAAAAATAAGTTATTTACTAAGATTTTTGAGAAAAAACATCAGATTTTTAATAAAATTTACATGCTCATATTGAGCAAAAAAAAAACAATCAATTTCAAATAATATTTATTTATTGAGACTTTATGAGAAAAAAACATTAATCGTAATCGCTTAGATAAGCGAGACTTGCAGAGATCTGCATAACCGCCGAAGTAGTTATGAATAATCATGCACTATTACTAGGTCACATACGAACATGCATCCTTTAAGTAAACGAAAGTGTTAAATCGAGTTTCTGAATGCAACTTAAAGTGACATCTGGTTGACGATTCAGGGACCGCAGATGAACCTTTTCGGATGCACGGACCAACAAAAACAAAATCTCAGTGTCTCTCCGGCGCTGCACCGTGTGGTTTTTTAATCAATTTTAAGCACGTAAGCTCTTTTAAAATAATAAAAGTTTTCCATTCATTGAAAATGAAAAATTCAACTGATTTATGGGGTATATCTGTCAAAGTCATAAAGAATATTATACATTCTATAGCCCCTTACCTTGCTATTATTTCTATAGCCCCTTACATTGATATTTTTAATTCATGTATAGATCAAGGAGTATTCCGTGATCTTAAAAATTCAGTAAAATAGCAACTATAGACCAATATCTATATTAAAAGCATTAAGTAAAATCTTTGAAAAAATAATGTTAGAACAATTGTTAACTCATTTTAACATTAATAAACTATTACACAGAGCGCAGTACGGTTTCACTAAAAACCGTTCCACGACTGATGCAGGTGCCACTATGCTAAAATATATATTTGATGCTTGGAAAAAGTCGCAGAATGCTCTTGGGATATTCTGCGATTTATCTAAAGCCTTTGATTGCGTTAATCATCAAACTTTGTTATGTAAATTAAATCATTACCGCATAAAAGATGCCGCACAAAAATTAGTGCAATCATATTTAACAGAAAGGACACAGACAGTTGATATTAACGGTACAAAATCAGCCGGATCTCATGTGAAAATAGGCGTTCCCCAGGGTTCAATTTTAGGTCCATTTCTTTTTTAATTCACATTAATGATTTACCTTTCTTTGTAGAAAGATTTTGTGACATTGTTTTGTTTGCAGATGACACCTCACTAATTTTTAACATTGACAGGTATAAAACTAATTATGACGATGTAAACAATGCACTGTCTAAGGTACTCCACTGGTTCTCTAGTAATAATCTTAAACTTAATGCGAAAAAAACTAAATGTGTTAAATTTACTTTACCGAATGTAAAGCATGCTGAAATGGGGGATATAATTCTAAATGGTGAAAAACTAATTTTAGTCGATACTACCGTTTTCTTAGGCGTAACACTAGATCACAAACTTCAATGGAACCCTCACATTAAAACACTATCGGGTAAACTTAGTTCTGCTAATTATGCAATTTATAAAATAAGACGGCTTACAGATGTCGACACTGCTAGGACAATATACTTTAGCTACTTTCACAGCATCATGTCATATGGCATTCTATTGTGGGGCACGGCCGCTGCATTGAAACAGTTTTTATTCTTCAAAAACGAGCTATAAGAGCTATTTACCGCTTAGGATCTCTAACTTCTCTTAGGGATGTATTTAAAGAAATAGGTATAATGACTGTTGTCTCTCAATACATTTACAATTGTATATTGTTTGTGCGTCAGAACATAAATTTATATACGAGGCGCGATGATGTACATAATTTCAATACCAGAAATAAAGATAAACTCAAATTGCCACCGTTGAGACTCCAAAAGGTTCTTGGTTCATTTGTGGGTCAAGGTGTATGTTACTATAATAAAATACCAAAAGAAATAATAAATTTACCTTTTAATAAGTTTAAAGTGCGTATAAAAACTAGTCTCCTTAAGAAAGGTTACTATACAGTTAAAGATTTTATAAATGATAAGGCACCTTGGGCTTAATATAATAGACTAAGTCGTTTTACTTTACTAATTTGGTTGAAAATTGTTAGTTATACTTAACTTATTGTTAATTAATAATATTAATGTGATGAAATATGACATCAACACATGTTTTTAGTTTTGATGTCATCTTTCAATTGACGACACTGTATGAAACTAAACAGGGAGAAATAAATAGCCCTTGCTGAGTTTCTTGCCGGTTCTTCTCGGTACAAGGTCTCCCGCCGTAGATTTACGAACCGATGGCGTAGCGTTTGAATTTCACAAGAGCTTGTAACAGCCTAGACTGAATAAATGAGTTTGAGTTTGAGATAGACTATGAGATCATATGCGATTTGACGGATGATTAGATCTTTCGTCTCAGTACTGCCACCTGGTGCCCGTCATTCCAAAAAACCCTCACTGCAGTAAACACATAGACAAAGGTAAATAAACAAAAACTCGTAAGAAAATAACTGACTTTATAATAAACAAAAGATGATTTCTAATAAATACCCCGAAAAATTAAATAGTAATTATATTATAAAAAGTAATTATCATTATTGTATTGTACGAGAATATAACGCATCCTTGAAGATTCCAGGAAAGTTGTGAATTAAAAGTGCCGAAAGAAATTAACCTACGCAACTTTATTACACTTATTCATATGTTGTATCAGTTTTATGTTTATTATTACTACATTGTAATACTAAATACACTGTACTTATATAGATGCCTTGTCGTTTCTCTGCTCCGCAGAGCAGAAATCGGGGTTTAGTGAAATAAATTCACCAACCATGAATGCGTCAATTCTTGGCAGATTTGTGATTTCTGTTTTCACAAAGCCGGCATCCATAATTAGTTTTTTCACAGTAAACGGAAACTTTTCTAAAGTTAAAAGTGTTTTAAGATAAATTTATTCAGACGAAAGAATCCACCCACAGTAACACGCGAATGACATTTAGTTGTTTACCATATGAGACGTCACAATCATGGCGGATGTGGCGAATAGCGTTTTTAGTGTTTAAAAAATATAGACTAAAAAATATTTTTTAAAATTAAATTTCTTCAGCAATCTTCTGCTTTTATGAAGTGAAATCGATATATTTAGGTTCCTTAGACCAAATACTTTAAGAAATAAACATTTATTTAATACAATTCGACATGAGTCAACTAGCCTATTCGGAGGCAGCCGGCAACCCTTACGGATTTGCAATGTGATGGAAGCCTCTCTACCTCCTGC